CTTGGACACAGGAAGGGGAACATCACACACTGGGGCCTATTGTGGGGTGCGGGGAGTGGAGAGGGATAGCATTAGGAGATATACCTAATGTGAATGACGAGTTAATGGGTGCAGCACACCAACATGGCACATGTATACATATGTAACAAACCTGCGTGTTGTGCACATGTACCCTAGAACATAAAGTATAATAAAAAAAGAAGAAGAAGAAGAAGAAAACAAAACCACAGACACCTCTTCTGGCACTTAAGAAACTATGCTCAACGTATGTTTATTGCATCACTGTTCACAATAGCAAAGACTTGGAACCAACCCAAATGTCCACCAATGATAGACTGGATAAAGAAAATGTGGTACATATACACGATGGAATAATATGCAGCCATAAAAAAGGATGAGTTCATGTCCTTTTCTGGGACATGGACGAAGCTGGAAACCATCGTTCTCAGCAAACTATCACAAGAACAGAAAACCAAACGCCGCATGTTCTCACTCACAAGTGGGAGTTGAACAATGAGAACACATGGACACAGGGAGGGGAATATCACACACCAGGGCCTGTCAGGGGGTGAGGGGCAAGGGGAGGGATAGCATTAGGAGAAATATCTAATGTAGATGACGGGTTGATGGGTCCAGCAAACCACCACGTCACGTGTGTATACCTATGTAACACACCTACATGTTCTGCACATGTATCCCAGAATTTAAAGTATAATTAAAAAAAAAAAAAAAGAGAGAGAAGAGACTGTGCTCTATGCTCCTCCCCCAAAAAAGAATATGAAATATTAAAATTCAAATGAGTAAGAGTTTATCACTTCCTCAGATGGGGTGTTTATATTACCGATGTTTCATGTTTCTCATGGTTATATTTTAGCAAACTGAGACATAGATTAGAAAGAGTTACATTATATCACACATGGTGAAAGAATTGATAGTTCTCCCACCCTCCTGGAATTATCTTGTTGTGCTTTGAATACAGAATGTTTGAAAAATGCTTCCATATATTTTAAACTCTGCTGATCATTACTGCAAGTGGCAGGAAGCACATAATGCACACTTGACCAGGTAGGAGGTCAATTACTCAATTTAAAGAAAATTTTGTGGACTATTGATAGAAACAGATGCATGGCTGATCATAAAATCTTAGCAATTTTTATATTAGAGGTTATGTTAATTTATAAACACCCTCAAAAAGTCTGAGAGTAACGTTTAAAACTTTCCTTTTGTTTGCATCATGGATTAATTTTTGTCAGCTTTTCTCTCGTTTTATGCTGGTCATATAATTCAAAGCCACATGAGGCAAACCTTTGACACTGGAAACAGCTTAATAAAAAATATGATACTAAGCCATACTGAGGGACAGCAGCAGAATCTCAAATGATTTTAAATCCAACTAGATGAAAGTATTACATTTTGGACTTCCTGTAAACATTTATTTTTCTGTACCTGATATATACTTAAATTATACGTGGAACTATCATTTACAGTTTATATGTGACCAGATTAGCACAACTTAGAGACCATTAAAATATCTGTGCTCAAATTAAACCTTTCACTTCTAATCTGATCTAGATCCTGGTCTAGACAATTATTAATGGAAAGATAGATTTTGTTCTTATTAAATTTATTTTTTTATATTTCCTGATTAACAATGAATAAAAACTGTTTTAATTCAGAAGTAAAATACATGAAGAGTTTGTTTCTTTACTATCACTTTTGAAGAATCTGTGTTATGAGATAAAAGTATGCTTCTAAAATTTCTTTAAGTCTACCAAAATAAGAATAATTTAGCAAGACCTATAGGTTAATTTCCTTAAAAGTACAGTTATTACATTAAAATAAGATATATATAATTTTAGTATAGGTATTTTCTCTTTTGTAAAAATTTCTACCTTATATTTGTGTAATTTGTATAAAATATTATAATTTCTAAATGGTGAGATATTTTCTAATTTTCCTTGTACATTGAACCTGGCATGGTTCCATATATGTGGACATAGAATAAAGCACTTTTAAATATTACATTAAATATAAAGAACTGTGGGATGATAAACATTGATTAAAAGCTACCTATAGTTCCAAAATTAGAAAATAGTGCCATATGAATTGTCTACTGTTTACTTTTTGATAATATTTGAATGTTATATGAAAATAATTTTAAAATTAGTAATAATAAACATTTACATAACACTTGTAACATGCTAGGCATTCCCCCTAATAAAAGAGATATTATTATCCCCATTGGGTAGGTATATAAACTGAGGCACAGAAAATTTAAGTAAACTGTATTCAAATAGCTGGCAAAATGTCAGAATCTGGATTTGAACATAAAGTTTATTACCAGTATCTGGTCTTTCAACTAATACTCTACACAGAAAAGCAAAAGAAACAAACAAACAAACAAGATCACAAAAGGGGAAAGAATGTAACACTTTACTTACTGTCATACTTGAAAGTTAATGATTTTATAGAAAATGCTATTTTTCATAAAATAATATCTCATGGAAAAGACCAATGTTAATTCAGTTTGCAAACATTATTCATGAATTAATTATTGATAAGGTCATATTTAATTCCAAAGAACAGCAATGATTGTCACCAAAAATCATGTCCCTCTCAAAGTACAGTGGGTAACTCCTTTTTCAAAGAAGCCATCTGAATACTATAATGTCTCCATTTCTCAATTAAGCTTTTGTTATGCAATTCTATTCAAGCTCTAAATATTTCCAGACTAAGATATTTCATTCTCAACTCCATGCTTTTATTTTTTTTTTCCATTTAATCCACACTATGTCCTTCCTCTTTCAATTTGGCACCTGTGGGTGAATGACTTTAGGAAAAGCTTAGTGGTATGCCCTTTGGGGTGAGATTGTTTTTAGCATGTGAAGGACAGAGAAACTGAACAGGAAAGAATACATGAGAAATACAAATAAGTGAAGCAGTCTAAGAAATGCAGAATCAATCATTATTACACTGGGCATATGTGATTAAATGTCTTCAAAACAATGAGGCTCATCCATCAGCATCCTCACGCATTGGGAAATCAGATCATTAGAGAACAGAGACAATCAATCCGACAAGGCCATCTCCTCATGGTTACACATCACAGCCAAGTGCGCAGATAAGAAATGCACCTCCTTGATTTGCAATTGTTTTTTCTATAATGTGAAATTTCCATATAGAAATGTGACAAGATAGGGATGAGACACGTCTTTCTGATATCTGAAAGGGTATCACTGTTTTGTAACTCAGCTCCAGAAGAAACTTTGATATCCCTAAGTGCATTAATAAGTATTCGATATAATTATGATGGTGCTTGAAATACATTATAGGGGCATTTCAATGATCCTACAAATGAAGTAAATATGTCAATTAAATAAAAATGACATATTTATGTGAAATAAATTAAACTTCTAAAATTTATAAATTTATAAATATTGCTTATTCTCTAAAGTGTACTATCACCACAGTATTACAGGACAAACTATTCTATTATTTTTGTTATACTGGTTCCAACACAAAGAGTCAATATATATGTCTGCTTAAAAGATATAATTAAAATACATCTTTCTTTTTTGCTGTTTTTCTTCAATAACTATTCCTGGGATACTGACTAGTGTGCTGCTCATTTCCCAGTGGTTGTGTACTCTGTGCATGTTCAGTGTTTTAAAGAAGAAATGGGAAGTGGTATAACCTCTATCAACATTAACTTTGCAAATGTCTGGCACATTTAATAGGTCTGAGTATGAAAAGTAAATAAAAACTGAGGCAGTTATCCAGGTACATTTCAGCCAAAAGAATGACTTTACTTAACAATCTACAGCTATTTAAGACAAAATAGTATTGCGTGTGAACTCCAAATAATCCCATAATTTTTCCTCCTGCATGAGTAGACATAGCCTTTAAAGCTATCTGCTTTATAACTTGATAGTCAGAGCTTCTTCGGTCTGAAATCATTTCTTGAGGGAGCTTTTGAAAAAGATTTACAAAACCATGTCTATTTTCAAAATTGTAAGCTGAAATTGCTTTGCCTGTGCAGATATGATGACCCAAATCTCTTTCTGTAAAATATCCTTTTAAGATATGCAATCATTTGATTTATCAACTGGCATACATACTAATTTTCCTTCTATTACTTTAAGGAGATTTACATGTTTCAAAGCAGGGAAAAAAAAGCATCACGGAAAAGCCAATAAGACATTGTTATTTCAATATTCTAACAAACCATATTGAGCTTTCACATTAAAAAGCCTCATTTAGTAAACAAGATGTTTATGAAAACTAAAGACTACCTTTGAATAGAATATTTTAATGAGTCAATAAATTGCATACATGCATACAGAACAAATACTGTGAAATGTTTTCTCAAAGACGCTGTGAAACCACAGTGCAAAGTTCTAAACAAAGCATTTAGTTCACAGCATGGATGCACAAATAGAAGCAGATTATAGGTATTCCCCTAATACAGGCCCCAACACATAGTTTAGTACTCTTTTTGTCAAAGACAAACGATTTTATTAACATAGTTTTCTCTAAAATGGTACCAGTTATTTCAATGCTACTATTCAGAAAATAAAAGTCAGCATTTTGGAGGTGAGGGTAAGTAAATAAGTAAGGAATATCAGAACACAGTAGCACATGAATAACAATCACATTTTGAGAATTTATTGAGAGGGTGAGACTGCACAGAAGTACAGTTGTGGCTGGATAGAGATGGAAAGAAATACAAGTCTAATTGTGATGGTTTTAGTCTATGTTAGGCCAAATTTGTGGTAATATTGTTTTAGGGAAAAAATCCTGCAAGGGAAGGTAAACTAACAAGATGACCCTTAGAGTCTATTACGTTTCATTGAGACCATAAAGTTTCTCTCTATCATCAGATGTTTTCCAAAGGAAAATAATATGTACAAAAGTATCTATCACATCAACTATTTGATGATTTTAAAATTCTGTCGATTATTATTAGTAGTATTTTAATTATTGTTATTACTATGCCTTCTACCCATACTGTGCTGAGAAACAAGATGCACAGTCATACTCAGTACAGTGCTTATGCTTTCTATTTTTAAAAAAATGAGTTGAAAACATCAATTCTCTTTCTCTTTTGCCCTTGATTTTAACAGTATTTGCCAAAGTAAATATGCTCATTGATTTTGGATTTGGCTACTCAAATAATGTGCCCAAGTTTTTTCCATAATCAATCTGGAGAATCTATTTCTACCACTTATGGATCATTCAAAATTTTATTTCCTATTTATATGTAGCTGCCTGAGAACACAAAGCTCCTTCTTACCTGTGTGGTAAAACTTCCCTGAAAATCCAAGGTTGAAGGTAAAATTTGCAACCTGAGTGCGCAGTAAATTTTGAGTCTCTAGTAATGCCTGAAATAAATAAGAAATTAACATGATTTTAGAAAAATGAATATGAAGTTTTGGGATGCCTCTTTTGCAAATGTGTATGCATGAGTAAAACAAAATGATATGAGCTTTCTTGTTTTTGATGGGTACTGTTATGTACTATTCATATTTCAGGTATTGTAATTATTATTGTCATTATTTTTATTGAAGGTCACCATATTATAAAACAGCTAACTCCTAAGCACATTGCGCATTGCTGAGAGGCAATTGTCCAACTCCACAGCACTGAAATCATTTTTCATTTCTGTGTGAGACACTTCTTGAACTTTGGATTATTATATTTCCTTTATGTGATGAAATTTTTTCAGAATTGTTGAATGCAAACAAGTCCTCTTTTCTTGGGAAGCAATAGGAGGAGAACTTTTGTTTGAACTGCAATTTAGTATTGTTTTAATTTAACTGGGCTACCATCCTCATCATGTTTAAAGGCATAATTATTAAATTGAAAGTTTGGGTTTTATCTTACAAACTAAAGAGCAATGTATATTTTATAGGACATTGCTTGCAAATCTAATTATGAAAAAGGGAAGAACACGTAAAAATAGATACCCTTTTTTGTTACTAATTCCATAACAGAAATTCTCTAAATGTGACAAACATTTCCCTAGGTTCTAGATTTGAAATTATACTATATTAAAGTCTGGTTTGTGGACAGGAGAATAACACACTGCTAATAACGACACATCATTAGTTACATAAATTTGTTGCCAATCCTTTCACCGCCATTACTCCTGTGTCAAAATATGTAGCATAATTCAGAACTCTTATATCCTTGGGCTTTTTAGTTTGCTTACTGGTCTGCATATTGATTCAGAATGCTTTTTCTATTTTTAATGAATTTTTAAATAGGACATACTTTGTTCTGATTAAAATGAGAAGCTAATTTCAAAAGAGAGATATTAATAAGACTGATTTTTGATTACTCCTATCCATCTGTTAAGGAGACTAAGGAGTCAGAGGTTTAAACAATTTTTTTTTCCACTAGTCGTGGTGGCTAAGCATTTGCTTCAAAGACTTGTGAACCTAACTGTTTATTCCTTTACAATGAAAGGAGTCTCCTGCACATTAGTTTGATTTTTAAAAATGACTAAGTAACTAAAATGTTGATAAAATATATAGTCAATGGTTATCCAAGACCACAATTAGACTGGGTGTTATCATGTTCAACCTTATTAAATATTATTAACTAAGTAGATGAAGGCAAAAATAGAACCACTAGCTTAACTCAGTTCTACAAAATATTAAAATATATTTCTCAGAGAGATTAAACTAAATATTAAAAACAGTTGAGATAAAAAGTATATTGAACTAGTTGAACATATTGGTGAAACCTTTGGAATACAGCCATAAAATAAGAACATTATGCATTATTTCTCTTAGTGAGTTCCCTTTTCTGACTTTTTTTGGCTGTATTCCATGCATAATTTCTGAGTCTCCTTATCTTGATTTTTAAAAAAATTTCTCCCATTTGCTATTCCCCTCACCACTCCAATTTCATCCACTTAGCGTTCTTCCTCTAAGTTCTTGAAGTCATTCATTTTTCTGCATTTATGTGTCTGTGAAATGGGGTACTTTTGAATACTTATTTTATACAATTATTATGAGAATTACATTGGATAAGGCATGCAAATTGTTTAGCTAAGTGTCTGGCAAGTAGCATGAGCCTAATAAATACTATTACTGACAACTGAGTCTATCATTCTCACTCCATCAGTTAGGTACCCTTGGTGCCTCCAACACACATTGTTATTTCCTTCAATCACCATGTACTCTGATTAAACTTAACTATCTCCCACCTCCTACATTTCCCCACGCTATTTCTCTCTGTATTCTCTTTACCTAGAAAGCCTCCCCAGCTCCCAATCCCATTTCCCAAGTCCCACCCACTCTTTATATCTCCACCCAAATGCCAACTTTTTGTGTAAAGCCTCCTCTAGTACATCAAAGTAGATTTCTAAATTATTTTCTTAAGACTTGCATCATTTCTGACTTTATTGCATCCATGCTGTATCTTATGATTTCCTCTAGTCTATGCATCTGAAGTTCCACCAAACCTTACTCATTTTCATGTATCTCATTACTGGGTTTTTTTTTTTTTTTTTTTTTTTTGCATTTAATAAAGATGTACATGAAAATGAGTAAGGTTTGATGTATTCAAAGTATAATAAACGTACTAATACATAGCAATAATTGGATTAGTTTCATTTATTTTTAGTTTTAAATTTTTATCAGTAACATTTTTCCAATGGTAATATGATAAACATAGTTCATGGGCCATACCACAAGATGATATCAGAACAATATAGATAGAATCTAGCATTTCACCAGGATGTTTTATAACACAGATGTTTTATAGCCTTGTGTCATAGATCTCCAAAGCAAGTTCAGAGAGGCAAAGGCAGACGGGAGGCTAGTTAGCTATATGAAGAACTTAACCAACCTTTTCACTGTTGGAAAAAAAATAGAGTTGTCTAGTCATGGCCTCCTAACACGTAGTCTGGATTAATGAGGTAGTAAAAATGACAAATACTATTAAAAAAAAAAAAAAAAAAGCAAATCTGAAGAAGTTTTCAAGCCTTCCTTGTTTAGTACAAGCAAATGTTCTTTAGTTTTCATACTTCAGAGAAGTTTTCATGCTTTTCAATGACAAAGGAAGAGAGAAAAAAATAACAATGAATAAAATGATTCAAACTAAAAACAATCAGAAATAAATTTAAAAGAGAAAAGTGCTAAACCATACAAATTAAGAAGAAAAGTAGAAAGAAGAAAGAATTCAAACATAGGAAAAATGTAAAATGTCAGAAGAAATATTAGGGCAATAATAATATGGATATAAATTTAAGAATATATTAAGTATAAATTTAACTTATTCTTTTAAAACCCCTTAATTTTTAAAACCCCTTATTTTGGAAAAACTTGTTAATGAGCTAGAAATAGAGTGTCTCAATTTAGAATACATATAAAATAGTAAAGCTCAGGAAATACACTTTTTTCTACCTGAATATTTTGTGTGGGAACTTTGGCTTTTGAAAATATATAATAAAATATGGCTGGGCGCGACGGCTCATGACTGTAATCAATCTCAGCACTTTGGGAGGCCGAGGCAGGTGGATCACTTGAGGTCAGAAGTTCAGGATCAGCCTGGCCAACATGGTGAAACCCCTTCTCTACTAATAATACAAAAATTAGATGGACGTGGTGGTGCATGCCTGTAATCCCAACCACTCGGGAGGCTGAGGCAGGAGAATCACTTAAACCTGGGAGGTGGAGGTTGCAGTTAGCTGACGTTGCCCCATAGCACTCCAGCCTGGGAGATAAGAGCAAAACTCCATCTCAAAAAATAAATAAATAAAATAAAATAAAATAAAATAAAAATAATAAAATGTGTATAGAGTTTTGACAATATACATTATTTATTTAATAGTTTGCATGACATAACAAGCAAGATCAATGACTTTGAAATTTTTTCTTTTACTGTTTATGAAGAACTCACTATGTAAGTTGATTGTATATTAAAGAGAATAAATATGTAACTTACTTATAAAAATGAATAGTTTATTACTTTAATAAACATTACTTCCATTAATTCAATATCCTCCTAATAAATTTCTCAGTATTGAAGAAAGCAAGTCTAGGCTGATTGTGGTGGCTCATGCCTATATTACTAGCACTTTGGGAGGCTGAACTGGGAGGATTGCTTGAGCTCAGGAGTCAAAGCCAGCCTGGGCAACATGGTGCAACTCCTTCTCTACAAAAAAATATAAAAATTAGCCTGGCATGGTGGGGTGTGCAATGTGCCTGTAGTCTCAACTACTTCCAGGGTGAGAGGATCACTTTAGCCCCAGAGGTTGAGACTGCAGTGAGCCATGTTCATGCCACTCCACTTTGACTGACAAAGTGAGAGAAAGAGAGGAAGGAAGGAAGGAAGGGGAAGGAAGGAAGGAAGGAAGGAAGGAAGGAAGGAAGGAAGGAAGGAA